GGGGGCGGGGCTGCGCGAGGAGGGGGCAAGGGCGAGCGCGAGGACTCCCGTCGCCGGAGGAGCCCTCTTGGGTGCTGGAGGGAAGGAAGGCAGGGATGGATGAACAGATGAGAGGTTAGTCTGCCTGTTTCCTGCCCACTGCTTTTTTAAAATACTTTATCTCTTTTTTTAAAATTTATTTTAGAGAGAGAGAGAGAACAATTTGTTGTTCCTCTTATTTATGCATTCATTGGTTGCTTCCTGTATGTGCCCTGACCCGGATGGACCTGCATCCTTGGCTCATGGGGAGGACGCTCTAACCAACTGACTTACCTGGCCAGGGCTCCTGCCAGCTCTTCTAGCCTTTCCTTGAGTGCCTTTTGGGGTTTGCCACCTCCCTGCGCACAGTCTTTGTTCCCTAGTACATCTAGTCTACTGTGTACGCCTCTTCCCAGCTGTGGGGACACCCCACTCAACCCCTGGGTCTCGCTCACCATCAGGTATCCTTTTCTCCTCCAGGCTGACCCTGTGCTGGCCACTTCCCCAGGGTGTAGAAGCATGTGAACCTGGTGCTAGCTAGCCTCACGGAGCCCCCAAACTGGAGAGGATGCAAGAGGGGAGATGCACAGCAACACCAATTTGAGGGTACGGGGATTAGTGCATACAGGAGCAGAATTTGTATCACAGAGAGAGTAGAGAGCTTCAGGGAAGGGGGAGGGCATGCTCAGCAGGGTTTAGATGGCTCAATATGAGCTTACCAGGTAGATCAGTATGAAGCCATTCTTGGCAGAGGGAAAAACATGTGCAGACAGCAGACAGGCAGAAAGTAATTGCTGAAGGGAAGAAAGAATCTCTAGACCCCAATCAGAGACTGGTGGTGGAGCCCTGGAATCAGACTACTGAATCTCAGCTCTGCTATTTTCTTGCCAAACATCCCTGAGTAAATCCCTTCTCTCTCTCAACCTCAAGACCTACATTTGTAAAATGGGTATAATAATCCCCTCCTTGGTCTGCCTGAGGAAAAATGGATGTGTATTAAAGTTTATCCAAATAAATGGTACCAGAAATTCAATCAAATTCCCTTCCTGTTGTCATGGTGACCCATAAAGGCAAAGCAGAGTGGCAAACAGCTTTACCTTTGGCCACACAATACCTGTCCAAACAGACCCCCTGGTTGAAATTCCATTTCTAGTTTTCCCTGTAAATGGTTTATGAGCCCTGGAGGCTATGTGTAGAGGTACAGTCATCAGAGGCTATTGACCCTGGATCAGAGATTAGATTCTCAGGTGGGCTAGTCTATTTTTGGGGTGGCTGAGTCCTGTGAAATAGGATTTAACTCCAACCAGGGAGGGAACACGAGAGAAAACCTAAGGGAACAGCATCTGACCCTGGAAGGTTGGGTTGGAGTGGGGGGTAGAGAGCATGAGCAAATAAATGCCTGAAAGTGGGTCATGAAGGTGCAGCTTAAGCCAGAGAGCCAGGCTAAGTAGCCCCTGTGCTTGGAGTGTTGGGGGTTGGGAGGGGGGGGGAAACTTGAGGATAGGGGGAACTTGAGTGAGAGAAGCTGAAGAGGTGGGGTCACAAAGGCCCTCAAATGTCAGCTGTAGGAGTTATGACTTTATTCAGTAGGCAGTGGAGAGCCTTGGAGGGTTTTTGAGCAGAGGGAGGATCTGAGGAAATCTCAGCCTCCCCTCAAGCCTACCCTACCCTTTAAAGAGGTGTGCAGAGGGCTGGGGAGCCCTAGCGTTCATCTTGGAGGGACCAAGTAGCCCCCTTCCCAAGCTGCGTTCACACTGTCAGCTTTGTGTCCGGAGGCTGCCTGTAGCCCTGGAAGGACCTCGGGACTTTTCTGGGTCTGATTCCAAGCAATTCCAGGCTTAGTAGCCACTTGGAAGAAAAGAGCTTTCTTTCTGGGTTGGCAGGGCGGTTCCAGGTAGCCAGGCAGATGCTGGCTAGTGCGTGCCTGAGAGCACGCAGTGGCTCCCGGCGGGGCCGTGCTGAGCCGGGTCCTAGAGGCTCCGCCCTACGGCTCCCCAGTCAGTGAGTAAGCAGGCCTTGGAAAAGGCTTTTAAATTTTATTTTATTTTTGCCTTTAAAGGCAAACCGCCTGGCAGTCAGGAGTGAAGGCCTGCTGAGTCAACTGCTGCTGATGCAAGGGGGGCTGGCAGGGGTTGGGACTCGGGACTCCCAAATCCACAGGATGTTTTGCAACTCAAATTCTCCCAAGCTGCAGGTGAATACAGTGTTGGATTCCACGAAGGCCTGATAGGCCAAGCAGGACAGTTTTTTGTGTTTAATATTTTCATTCTCGTTTGCATACCCATTCAAACCACCTGCTCCCGGGTAATTTTCTGTTTTCCTTCTTTATCCTTTTGTGTCTCCCTCTGCAAGCTCATCAGGGCCACCACTCACTCGCTGACGATGGGAGCTATTGAAGGAACAAACCTCTCCTCTATTCTCCCCTGAGCACCAGGCTTGTCTGGCCAGCTGCCTCCAGGACAGCCCTCTGCATGTCCCACAGGGACCTGGCACTCCCCAGGTTAAAACCTAAAGGCATCATCTTCCCCCACCCCTTCTAGTCCTCAGCCCAGAGATGGCTCCCCTAGCCACCAAATTATTGATTTTTTTCCTTTGCCCTGAGCTTTAATATGACTCAACAGGGCACTGTTACTAATCCTGTCATTATTTAAAATTTTGGTATTTTTGTCATGGGTTTTTTTCTTTTTGCATTGTTTGATTCTTAGAAAATATTGCACAAAAAAAACATTATTTATCTTGATGATTGAGCTTTTGGCATCCCCTTAAATCTTACTCGAGAGGTAAGTGTCTCACTTGCCACACCCTAATCCTGACCCAACTGGTAATGTTTTGTAATCAGGGTGCTGCTTACATGGGTATGTTCAGTTTGTCAAAATTTATCAAGCTGTACATTTCCAATTTTTGTACTTTTCTGTATGCACATTATGCTTCAATTAAAAACAATTTTTTTAACTTAAAAAAAATTTTTTTTCTCGCCTTAGCCGGTTTGGCTCAGTAGTTAGAGCATTGACCTGCAGACCAAAGGGTCCTGGGTTCGATTCCCGCCAAGGGCTCATACCCCGGGTACAGGCTGGATCCCTGGCCCCAGTCAGGGTGCTTGTAAGAGGCAACCAATTGATGTGTCTCTCTCACATGGATCTTTTTTTCTCTCTCTGAAAAGCAGTGGAAAAAAATATTCTCAGGTGAGGATTTAAAAAAAAAATCTTTCTCTGGTTCCAAGGGAATGTCTGCTGTCTGCTTCTTCAAGCTAGCATCCCCAGCACCAAAAAATAGTATCTAGCACACACTGGGACTCAGTACTATTTGTGGGGTGTTTTTTGTTTTTGTTTTTAAATATATTTTTATTGATTTCAGAGAGAGGAAGGGAGAGGGGGAGAGAGAGAGAGAGAAACACCAATGTGAGAGAGAAACATGGATCAGTTGCCTCCCACATACACTGCGACCAGGGGACCAAACCCGAAACCTGGGCATGTTCACTGGAAATCAAACTGGTGGCCCTTCGGTGCATGGAAGACGCTCAGCCACACTGGCCAAGGCTCAGTACTTATTTGTTGAATGAATGAATACAATATTATTTCAGTTCATTTAATCCCCACAAAAACTTTATGAGTATTTTTCTCTCCTTTTTCTAAAATAAGCACTCACACAGGTAGTAGGTTTGAGTTTTAGCACCTCAGTTAAAAAATAAACAAAAACTTCAACCAGCAGTGTACACTGGGACCTGGCTCTTATCACTTAGATTATAAGTATTTGAGCTGTATCTTTTTCTAGATAATGACTTCCTTGGGGCAGGGACTCAGGCATTTCTGAGTCCCTCTTCTAGCTAGTTATTTAGCACAAGGAGGAGGCTATAAATGTTTAAATGAATGAAGCAAAAAGTGAATGAATGAGGCCAACAGTGATATGTGAGGGGTAGAGCATAGGTTTTGGAGACAGATCTGTACGCTGTGTGTCTTTGGGCATATTACTTAGCCTGAGTATCAATTTCCCTCAAACAATTATTGATAATATGAAAGAGAAAATGACTGTTGGGTGACTGGCATATAATAGATACTTAAAAAATTGGTAACCATTATTATTATTATTATTATTTCTAGTGTTTTACATTTTTAATGCCTATTTAAGTCAAAGTGGCAGGGATCTGCCTCTTTCAATTTCCATGTATTGTTTTCTGGGGGTCTCTGGAGTTAGAAGGAGGGCAAGTGCTGGAATAGTCCAGAAGTCTGGCTTTATGGCCCAGTTCCTCACTGCCTGTGGTGCCACCATTGGTGAGTCACTTCCTCTCCGTGAGCTTCAATTTTCTCTCTGTAGGATGGAGCTCAGAATAAGCTTGATCTTATGGTGCTCTGCGGAGGGTGCAATGGCATGTCCCTTGACCTAGCACACAGTAGGTCCTCCATAAAGTTTGCATCTGAGGAACAAACCTGGCACTCTGTGGTGTGGGAGAAGAACATGGAAACAGAGGGACTCAGAGACCCTAAGTCCCAGTACTGATGTGAAAGACAAACAAACAGCCTGGCTGGGCTCTATTTTGTTCTTAGAACCTTATTTCTCTTGAGAAGTAAAATAATAATGCCCTTTATGCGGATGCAGCTTTCTAACTGTGCAAAACCTTCCCACACCTCATTCCTTGGTTCCTCTTCACACCTTGTGTTGAGGGCAAGACCAAATTTATTTATACATCCACTGGGCAGTTGAGATTGAGGCACACAGAGGTTAAAGCCACTTGCTTTACCAAAGGAGGAAATTGGTAGCAAATTAAAGGTATGAAACCTGGACCTCACCCCTCCCCTCCCTCTCCCATGCCCCAACCCCCTTCAAGCAAGTAGTCACAACCCAGCTGGCATCCGGCCATGCCTGCCTCCACCTGACAGGCACATTCATCACAGAGTTGCTGGCTGATTGACCCAATGATACCAGAGCTGACTCACTTTAGAAGATGGACAGACAACCAGTTATGAGCCAGTGGAGTCCCTACTTCCTCACTGTGGCTTGAAATTAACGCCCCGAATTTGTGGCAGTTTAGTTCTTAAGAAAGGGAAAGCACTGTGGGCTGGCTGGACACAGAGATCTCTGGACCCAGAGAAGGGTGGTTTAGTTCCACTCTGGCTGTTACAGGTTTTCTGGGTGACTTCAGGCAAGTCACTGTCTCTAAGTCGCAGTCTCTTCAGTTTTGTAATGAAGGTGTTGCAACAGGTGACTTCCAAAGTCACCTTCACTTTCTGGGCTGAGAAGCCTCATCATAACGTCATGTGTGTTGACAGTTGACTATGTGCCAGGTGCAGGGCCAAGTGAGTGGTATATAATGATCTCCTTTAACTCTCATAACGAGTCCTAGATATGCTGTTTTATCCCATTTCACAAAGAAGGAAACCGAGGCACACTTTCAGAGTTACTTGCCCCAGGTCAAGCAAGTAAGCAAGTGGTAGATGTGAGGACTGAGCCCAGTCTGTCCCCAGAACTCTCATAATCCCATCTATACTTACTCCCTTTATCCTGCTAGACCTGAAAAACAATTGTGGTAAGACATGCGTGACATAAAACTTACCATTCTAATAATTTTTAAGCTAGCAGTTCAGTGGCATTAAGTACATTCACACTGCTGTGCAACCATCCCTACCACCCATCTCCAGAACTTTTTCATTTTTCCAAACAGAAATTTCATACCCATTAAAGAACAAGTTCCCATTCTCCCCTCCCCCCAGCCCTTGGCAACCACCATCTACTTTCTGTCCTATGAGGTTGACTGCTCTAGTTACCTCATATAAACTTTCCTCATTTTTAAAACTATGATAATAAAGGACAAGAGTTATTTGAAACTTTTAGTGGAGCTTTTGGCTCAGACTTGGATCTAAGTTCCAGTTCTTCCATTCAACGGCTGTGTGCCCTCAGGCTGAATAAGCCTTGCCTAGTGGGGCTATTGTTTGAATCACAGGACACATGCAGAAGAAGGTGTTGGGAAAGTCTGATGCCATGTCTAGAGCTTGTGATATAGTATATAGCTTCTTCCTGGAGAGCTAGGACCAGGACCCTGGCTTGAATTTATAGGTGTGAAAGAATTTGGAATTGTACAATTCAACCCATTTACAGATGAGAAGACTGAGACCTAGAGAGGTGGTAATGACTTGCCCAAAGTCATGGAATGATGCATCCATTCTCATCTGTATGCCCTGAGCACAACGCCCTGAATAGGGCAGGTGCTCAACAAATGTTTGCTGCTGAGGTTGGAAGTTAGAGACCACGACGTAGAAGGGCCTTGACTGCTTGTGTTCCAGCCTTTGTACCTGGGGTTGGAAAGTCGCTGGTAGAGCCTCTGCTTATAGAAGGTTCTGGGGCAATGTTCTTGTATCTTGAGTTGTGTTTTTACTGGTCCCCTTGTCGCTGAGGGGCCCCACTGTCCTTCTTTCCTTAGAGTAATGATGTTAGGAGTTTTTGGTTGCAAGTAACAATGTGTTTAAGCCAACTTCAGCCCAAAAAAGGAGAGTTTATTAAAGGGTACAGAGGTATCTCCAAAACCAGTGGAAAGGATGCCGTCAGGGGCTGACAAAGGTCTGCACCCCACGAGGACACTACCTCCAGGATGGCCTGCAGCCCTCACCATGCTTTAGCGCTCTCTTTTCCCATGCAGGTGTGTTCTGCTCTACCTGGCAGCATATGACCACCGCTCAATGCCAGAACCCACAAGGGACCGTCTCAGCAACTCTCAAGGCTGACCCAAGTGTCTCCTGGTCCTGGTTCTGTTTCTAGACGAGAGAAGCAGATCGGCTGTTTAGGTGAGATGTTTGCCCTGGGTCTGATTGACTATGGTCAGACCAGTCGGGGTCATAGAGCACAGACAAAGAGAACAGGGCTCACCCCTGTGTGAGGGTAGGGCGGAAGAAGGGTGTGAGTCACACAGGCAAACGTGTGCATCATTAAAAGTGTTGAATAGAAATATACACGTGTTCCCTGGCCAGTGTGGCTCAGTGCTTGAGCGTCGGCCTAGGAACCAGGAGGTCAAGGTTCGATTCCCAGTGAGGGCACTTGCCCGGGTTGCAGGCTCGATCCCCAGTAGGGGGCATGTGGGAGGCAGCCGATCAATGACTCTCATCACTGATGTTTCTCTCTCTCTCTCCCTCTCCTTCCTCTCTCTCTAAAAATCAATATATGTACATTGACATGAAAGGTCAAGATTGTTTTGAATGTAAAAAACAGGTTACAAAACAGCACATTTATTATTTTAAAAGTAGCCTGGCCAGGTGTGACTCAGCGGTTGAGCATCAACCTAGGATCCAGGAGATCACGGTTTGATTCCTGGTCTGGGCACATGCCTGGGTTGCAGGCTTGGTCCCCAGTCGGGGACGTGCAGGAGGCAGCCAGTCAATGACGACTCTTTCATCATTGATGTTTCTATCTCTCTTCCTCTCTCCGAAATCAATAAAGATAAAAAAAAGTAAATATGTGTATGTAATATAATTGAATTTCTATACATATATGTGTGCTAAATGTTCATTGAATTATGGGTAGTAGAACTGGGGATAGCTTTTATTTTCTTCTTTTGCAATATCTACATTTTTCTGATTTTTCTCTAATGAATATCAGTTGTTATAATAAAACAATAACCCTTATTTCACAGGGCTGCAGTGTGTGTTAACTAAGACATTGAGTCACTTGATCAGTGAATACTTATTAACCATCTTTTATATGATGGTTTGTAAAAGCTGCACAATGACTGGCCAGTGACACACTCAATAATTGGGGTCACCCAGGCCCTGCCTTCCAGGAGTGCACAGGCTGGCTGCTCGGATACAGGTGCTCCCTCTGCGTTCTGAAAATCTAAGAAATGAAAACAACAGGTTGTGTCAGCCATCCATTTCTGTAGAATAACTACTTCAAAACTTAGTGGCTTTAAACACCAACAATGTATTATTTCTCATGATTTTGTGCGGTTCTGCTCCCCATGGCACTGCTGAGGTGTTTTTATTCATGCAGCCACATTCAGGGGGATCCTTGGCTGGGGCTGTTTTCTCCATGAAGTGTCGCATCCTCCTGTGTCCCTAGCAGGATAGCCTGGACTCTCATGCAGCACAGCAACTGCACCCAAGAGGGAACATTCCAAGAGGACAAGCCCTGTTGTGGAAAAGTGGATCCAGCCTGCTTGTATCAATGCACCTCATTCCGGATATTATTTGCTTTGTCTCTTAATCTACAATGAGCATTTTCTCTGGGAGTAAATATTCTTTCCAGCCTGAATTTTAATGGCTGGCCGATGGTCCATCATTGACTTAACCAGTCCCCTATTGATGAATATTTATCATCATATAAAAGGTGGCTTTCATTTGGAGGCAGTTACAAACAACTTCGCAAAGATCGACTTCGTACCAAGAACTCGGTACAAATCCTTGGAGGAGAGGGATGACAGGCTCAAAGGACAGGGGCATTTTTAAGACTGCCAAGTCATTCTTCAAAACCATCGTCCATGTTGCACTTCTACCAGCTGTAAAGGGACCCACCCGTTTCACAGTCCTCTGGTCGATATTGGGTGTGTTTATATTTTTAGTCTTTGTCAATTGGATAGTGAAAAATGGTATTTCATCATTGTCTTCAAAAGAGAGAATATTAAAGGTAAGCTGCCCAGAGCCAGATGCTGAAGGAGAGTTCATGTCCCTTCCTAGTAAGTCAGCAGGGATGAGGGAAGTGTGGTACGATATCTCTCAGCTCACTGGCATCAGGCTGGAAAAGAGGAGAACAGCCTGCGGGGCGAGGTCACTGTGTCCTCACAATGCAACTGACTGGAGCAAGCTCACTGCTGTCCTGTCCTGTGTCTGAGGGTTTTCCAGTGATCACAAGCACAGGCCTCATCTGCCATGGTCACTACACTTATCTTGACTCAGGCCTGTCCCCTCTGACCCACTGGTGCTGAGGTCTGGACCTGGCCCGCTATGGCCGATGAGAATTGTAAGGAGAGGCGTATAAAGTGGGACCCCAAGATCAGTCCTTGGCTTTGAACAGCCAGAGCCATTCCTTATGATCTCAAAAACTCATGAATGGGGGACACCTTCCTGTGTGGAAGTGGGAGTCCTTGACTATGAGCCAGCTCCGCTTCTTACTAGCTGTGGAGGAAGCAATGAAGCCTTTCTGAGCCTCAGTTTCTTCATCTAGAATATGGGGGTAGTAGAACTTTTAGGATTACGATGTACTTCTTCTATGTCTGACACCTGTAATTCTCACAGGACCCTTCCAAGACTGGGAGTATCCTGCCCACTTTACAGATGAGGCAAAGAGAGGTCCAGAAAAGGGAAATACCTTGCCTAAGATCATGCAGCAAATAACTAGCAGACTTGGAAATGAGCTCAGGCCAGTCTTAAACCAAAGCCCACACAAGCTCCTTCCACAGGCTTTGTAAAGGATTGGATGAGAAAAGGTCATGTCAAAGGGCTATGCAGCTTCTTATGAGTGAAAGAATATCTGCAATGACAGCACAGTGTATAAAACCTGCTGTCACTCTCTGCCTTACAGATGGGGAAGCGGGCTCAGGGAGAGGAGCAGGTTCGCTCCCTCCAGCACTGAGGCTGGTCTGTCAGGAATGCTGGGTGGGGAAGTGGGGGAGGAAAGCTTGCCAGAGGTGCCAGACTTCTGCCTGCCAGCTGAGCTGTGGCCTAGTAAGGAATGGGCGTTCCTTCCAGGGAACTCCAGCTGGAGGTGGGGCAGAATAGATGGGGAGTGAGATCAGAGGGCAGCCCTGTTCAGGAAGACTGGAGGGCAGGTCTCTGGGGGGTTGTGGGAGAAGGAAAGGGGCCTGGAACAGACCAGGAATGGGGCTTGACCTCAGGGTTACTTAGCTGGAGATGAAACGGGGGCTACATGGAGTGTGAAGCTTGGGGATAAGNTGAATGCATAAATAAGTGGAACGGCAAATCAATGTGGTTTTTTCCCTCTCTTTCATATCAATAAACTAAAAAAATAAAGAGGGGGCATGTGGACTAGGCTCCTGGGAACAGATGGTGACAGTGCTACTCATGAGAATGGTGAGTGTGGGCAGATAGTTCCCTGCGCCTCACTGTCCTCATCTGTGAAAGGCCCAAAGCGCAGTGGGTAAGACCCTGGTATCGGGAGCCCTGCCTGGTAGGTCCTGGCTATGCCACTTCCAGTGTGACTGGGGAAAGTGAATTTGCCTCTCTGGGCCTCAGTTTCCTCCTCTGTCACATGGGCCTGGTAAGGACAGTACCCACTGTACCAGCTGCTGTGAGGATTTAAGGGCCCAGCAGCACATGTAGAGGTTTTCTGCAGGCTTTTCACCTGGTCAGTCTTCACTACCATCATCATCTTCATCCACCTCAGAGGATTCTTGGGAGGCTTTAACAGGCTGCTGGTGCCAAGTGTGTGGCACAGGCATTATTGGATAATGACCAGGCAGAGACAGGTGCTCTGCTAAAGGTGGTGGGAGGAGCAGTGAGACTCACAGGAAGGAGACAAGGGTTCTGCCTGGCTGGGTAGAGGGAGGGTGTGGAAGGCTTCCTGTGGGAGGAGGTGGCTTTTTCTGGGCTTGGAAGGATGTGTAGAAATTCCTTGGGTAGAGGAGGGAGAAGGCAGAGAGATGAACTTGAGTGAAAGCCTGAGTGTGCCTGGGGACCATGGAGCTGTGTGATGAGGCTGCATGTTTGGGGTGAGGAGTGAGGCATGAGGCTGCACAGGGGCACTGGGTCCAGATGGCAAAGGGCTCAGAGTGTCTTGCTGGGGATTTAAACTGGCTCCAGTAGCTGGGAGTTTCTATTTCTGTCTACATGGCAGAATCACCTGAGGGACCTTATGAAACAGATTCTTTGGCCTCATCCAGCACTGTTCTGAGTAGTAGGTCTCAGGTGAGACCCAGGAATCTCTATTGTTTAAAATTCCCCAAGAAACTCCGATGCCCACTCAGGTATGGGAACTCCTGCCATGGGGAGAGGGTATCTCTAAGCAGAGATAGGCCCAATCGAAATACCAAATCCAGAACTCTAAGATCTGAGCAAGAGCTTGAGAAGGCGGGGAGGGCATGTAAGTGTCTCCTGACTTACTCCCAGCCTCCCACTCCTCTCCAGGGGAGTCCCACACTCTGATGGTCACCCTTGCCATTAGGGCTGACCCCTGGAGATGCCACTGCTCTATACCTTTCTATCCCCAGGATGGACAACCTTCCTACCATCCATCCATCCTTTTATCCATCATCCTTTCATCTATCTATCCATCCATCCATCCATCCGCCCACCTATCCATCCATCCATCCATCCATCCATCCATCCATCCATCCATCCATCCACTTATCCATCCATCCATCTATCCATCCATCCATCTATCCACCCATCTTTTTATTCTTTCAACAGTTTTTGAGCTCTCTCACCATGTGCCTGGCATGGGTTTGGGTTCTGGAGGTGCAGTGATGAATAAAGCAGACACTCTAAACCCCTTACAAAGCTTTCTGTCAGTCCTGGCTCTCTCAGCTGGCTGAACATGGAGTGCTTTGTCATCAGTAATATGGCTAAATACAAGAAAACTAGGACAGGGAACCCACCCAGGGCCTTAGACAATGGTTGTAGCAGGGCACTTTGGTCCAACCTCCAGGTCCCATGGCTCCCAGGCCCTCCCTGGGATGCCCCCTGCCAAGGGTCCTGGTGCCCAGGGTAGGCATGAACTCTGCAGCTATCCCCCAACCCCCCAAAAGGCAACAGACTTGGATAAAGCCTGAGCTATTCTTCCCAAGGGAAGGGTCAAGGAGCATTTCCTCACAGGGGTAGCAGAAATAACAAATACGAGGAAATGACAGGGATTCCAGGGATTTTCAGAGCACACAGCTCCGGTACAGGACGGAGCCACCCAGAGAGATGGGTTGGGAATCTGTTGCAGCAACTTCCTGGCCTCCCTCTTGGAGCCATCTCCTTGTGTTTTCATGCTGCTGTTCCCTTCTTTTGTTTCACTGTGACCCTTTGCCCACTCCAACACCACCCACACCATCCCCAGTGTGGGTGCTGTGGGTGTCATTGTCACATTCACTCATTGCTATTCATTCATTTCTTCCTTCATTCATTCAACACATAGGTACTACGTGCCAGACACTGAGGATGTGCTATATGCAGAATATGACCTCACATGGAACTCCCACTTGGGTGGGGAAACAAATGCAATCAGACAACTCTAATGCAATGTGATTATTGCCACCACGGTGTTGTGCACAGGGTGTTATAAGCACAGGGAGGAACCGAGGGAAAGCTGATTTTTGATGAAGGAGTAGGAACTCGAGGAGAGCATGCCAAGCAGTGAGGACAGCACGTGTAAAGGAGGAATAAAAAGCCTGGCCGGGCATTGCTCAGTGGTTGAGCGTCGACCTAGGATCCAGGCGATTGGGGTTCGATTCCCGGTCAGGGCACATGCCGGGTTGAGGGCTTGATCAGTGACTCTCTCATCATGGATGTTTCTATCTCTCTCTCTCCCTCTCCTTTCCTCTCTCTCTGAAATAATAAAGATATATTTTATGGAAAAAAAAAAAAAGAGGAATAAAAAGATGGTTTGCAATGGCTGGACCACAGGGAATGTGCAAGGGACAGCAGGAGTGGAGGCTGGAGAGGTCGGAGGGGCAGTCCATAAAGGACCTTGAATGCTGGGCTAAGGAACTAGAACTTCCTGCTGTAGGCAATGGGGAGCTTTTGGAGGACTGTGAACAGGGAAGGGACACAATCAGATGTGCATCTTAGAATGATGTATGGGAGCTGGTTTGGAGGGATGGGCTGGAGAAGGAGAGGCCAGGCGGAGCATCCAGTGAGAGGACCGGACACAGTCCCGGTAGGAAAGCCCAGCGTAATCGAGGGCAGGTCGCTAGGCACCTCTGGGCATAAGCACCAAGGTGGGTGTGGGGCAGATGGACGATAGACCTGGCCTCACTCAGGGCAGCTGGGTGTTTCCATGTCAAAGAGAGGCTGAGGCAGGTAGAAACTCCAAGAACTCCTGGGTTTGGGGTTTGAGTAGGCTCAAGGTCAGCAGGCGTAGCTGGGTCTGGGCCTAGAGACAGCAGGTCTACAGCAGGACCCCAGCCCGACATAGGAATCAGGGCAAGGCCCAGCCCTGCAGAAGAGTTCCCATCAGCCAAGCTGGGAGTGAGATGGAGCCCTGGTCCGGAAGGGAGAAGAAGCTACAAGGCAAGGAGCAGAGGGTGCCTGGCTGTAGCACCTTTGTGTCCCAGACCACCTCCCTTCCACGGCTACCTGTGAAGATGGGCTGTCGGGGCACCTGGGCTGTATTCTTGCCCTCCCAGATGAGGTTCCCCTCAGCTCCTCATCTTGACTCCAGCTACCATCTGCTCCTGACCAGGGCACCCAAAGTCTGCCCTGGGCCTGTCCCGCCCCTACCTCTAAGCTGCGCGGATGAACTGGGCTCCACCTTCTCAGATGCCTTTGGGTCGGTGCTCACCTCGCCAGCCCCCACGGGAACAATGGTCTAGAGGACATGGACACCAGCGCTCACTGCCAGGGGCCCTTTTGGCCAGTTTGTCACTC